TTTATCTTTCTCAATTCTCAAAGGCTCTACCCCCTATACAGCTGTTAAGTGCCTTGTGGGATGCAAATATAATAGATAAATAATAAGAGCAGCGTGAAAATTGAACGGGAGCAAATGTAAAAATAAATAAATGATTAAATGTGTGGTGAGCCACATTGGCTCGCTAGCTATGTTCCCTGTGAGGTATTGCAGTTGGTATCAGAAGTACCTGATAAGGTGTTCTGTTCTAAAGTTGCAGCAGTACAAGGATGAAAGGTGGTAGGAAGCCATAATTTCAGGAAAGGACGTTACAAAGAATCTGGAGGACATGCCGCACAGCGGGGGGGCTGATATTTATTGCCCAGTTTATTGCCCACCACCACCACACACTCCAGGGATGCCAACTATAGAGGGCAGAAGGGGCTTTGGCCCCCTCAATATTTGTGGGCAGGGGGCTGAGCCCCCCCAATACAGTGGTACCTCAGGTTACATACGCTTCAGGTTACATATGCTTCAGGTTACAGACTCCGCTAACCCAGAAATAGTACCTCGGGTTAAGAACTTTGCTTCAGGATGAGAACAGAAATCGCTCAGTGGCGGCGTAGCGGTAGCGGGAGGCCCCATTAGCTAAAGTGGTACCTCAGGTTAAGAACAGTTTCAGGTTAAGAACGGACCTCCAGAACGAATTCAGTTCTTAACCTGAGGTACCACTGTATTGAGGGCCCCCCAAACAGTTTGGCCTCCCACTTGCAAACATGCCCTCCGCATCCCCCATCCCCCACAGCCACCGGCAGAGCACTGCTTGGGGGCCAGAAGGTATCTTTGCTCTCTGTGCCCCCCAGCCCCTGCTGCTGCAGGGTGCAATGGGGATCTCTTCAGGGTTTGCCTGGTTCGTGCCCCCCCAATTGTACATTAAGTGCATATGATGTCATGCGACGCCAGGCTCCATCGTTGTGGGGGGCAAGTCTGCGCCCCTGACACACTTTAACTCACCAGGAGCTTCTCATGCACACACTCCACTGAGATGAACAAGAGCACCGTCCCGATAGATCTGCCTGTCAGATCTGCTTGACTTCAGCTGTGTACCTATTAGGGCTGGGCGATATATCAATATATCGTCCAAAACTGGTTTGAAGTCCATATCGTGATACTGGTTTCATAATTTTTGACTATAGTGAATCGTGATGAGTGTTAGGGCTGGGTGATATATCATCCAAAATTAGTTTCAAATCCATATCATGGTATTGGTTTCATAATTTTTGACCTGGCAATATATTGTGAATCGTGTGTGTGTGTTACGCAAAAATCACAATGCAAGCAAAACCGTGAAGCCAGCCAATCCCTCTACATAGCTCCATCCTGATTTCAGACATTGTGATATATCAGTATATTGTGATGTTTAGCTGGTGGTATATTATGATGCTGAAAACCAGATTTCGCCCAGCCCTAGTACATATCAGGGTATCCATGTGCTTCTCAGTGTGCTTTATCCCTGCTTTTTTCAAACCTCTGCTGTTGTAGCTACTTTTTTCTTGTTAGTGTCACTCCCTTCTCGCTGTACTTACTAGTCTCTCTCTCCTATTCCTCAGCAGCCTCATGGGGATGTGGATAAAGGATGTGGAGCCCTCAGATGTTCTACCGACCCTTCACGCAATACCATATGTTGCCTTCAGCATGAAGTTCCAGATTCAACAGTGTGACTTTACCTTCTCTTACTGAACGAGCTAACTGGCAGGCTTGCTCTTAAGAGCATGGAGTGTGTGTGTACAAAGGGGGCTTCAGAATGGGAGGAGGCCTGGAAATGTGGCTGGTCAGTGTGCAAAGGAGAGTTGAGAACAATAAGCAGGAGGAGGGGGTTGCAAAAAGAGAGGAAGCAGGAGGCATGGGAATGTGGTTGAAGATGAGAGCAGGGGCATGAGAGCTTCTGCAGAACAGGAAAGATTGGTGGCTTCATAGCTGGGTGGAAAGTGAAATGGGTGCTTTGTAGCTGCGCTGTGTGGGAGGAGGAAGATGCAGGCAGGGCCAGCCCAAGACATTTTGTTACCTGAGGCGAACCACAAAATGACACACACACACACACACACACACACACACACACACACACGGGAAGGAGGAGTGAGTGAAGATCTGCATCAGGGACAAGGCGGAAAGGCAGATCTGGACTTCAAGGAGTGTGCTGCCGCAGAAGCAGAAGGTGATGCATTACTTGGAGGCAGGATCTGCTGCCCCTATGGATCTTGCCACCCGAGGCAGTTGCCTCAGCTTGCCTCATGGGTGAGCCGGCCCCGGATGCAGAACGTTACCATGAAGGGTGGTTTGTGTGCAAGGGAGGGTTGCACAAAAGGTGTTGGGGGGGAGGAGGCATGGGCAAGGGGTTCAAAGCAGGGCAGCAGAACAGAAGAGAGAGGTGGTTTCAGAAAGAGGTCTGGGATGGTGAAAAGCAAGCTTAGCAGTTGCACACCGTTATGTATTCAGTGGTCTGTGTTTGCCTGAGCTTGAGTCTGGACTAAGGATTCTGAGCTCCTGAGTTCTAATTCGATACTTGATGTGAAATCACAGAACATTTCAGGATCTGGGCCTCTGCCATTGGCCCTTGGACTCGTGAGTTGTGATTCGCAGCTTGGAAGTTTAGACAGCCAATCACGTTGGGAGTGGGAGTGGCCCGGGCTTTCAGGAATATATATAAGCAGTTGCTTTGCCCCTGTTTCCCACTGATGTAGTTCAATGAAGGTTCTTGCTGTTATCACTGTGTCTTGCCTCGTGGGAAGGGGAAGCTCTGGAGGGTTAATGCAGTGTGAATGGTAGGGAGTTGGGGAGCAGAGCGAGTAGTGGGGCAGCCCCTGGCCATTTATAATTTCATAGACACATGTTCCCCATCCTCAGTCATCTTTTCTTTTTTAAATTGTTGTTGTTGTTTAGTTGTGTCCACCTCTTTGTGGCCCCCTGGACCAGAGCACGCCAGGCACTCCTGTCTTCCACTGCCTCCCGCAGTTTGGTCAAACTCATGCTGGTAGCTTTGAGAACACCGTCCCACCATCTCGTCCTCCGTCGTCCCCTTCTCCTTGTGCCCTCCATCTTTCCCAGCATCAGGGTCTTTTCCAGGGAGTCTTCTCTTCTCATGGGATGGCCAAAGTATTGGAGCCTCAGCTTCAGGATCTGTCCTTCCAGTGAGCACTCAGAGCTGATTTCCTTAAGAATGGATAGGTTTGATCTTCTTGCAGTCCATGGGACTCACAAGAGTCTCCTCCAGCATCAAAAGCATCAATTCTTTGGCGATCAGCCTTAAAAAGGCCTTAATGCTTTAGCTTTTCCTTGGAGGGAAGGGACTATTGTGGAAAATCCGAAGGGTCAGAAATCTTTTGAGTATTTACCTGTACCTCATAGGCTTGAGTACAAAGCTTGAAGGTAAAGAATTAGCTCCACCAGACGCTAAGAACTGCCACATTATGACATTACTCAGAAGAGGAGAAGGGGAGAGCTATGCTGGCATAATATAAATGTTATACCAGATTAGGTTTTTAAAGGCTTGAGTCCTGTTCAGTATCTATCAGCCCCACAGAAAGCAACATCTGGCAGGATAGAGATTTGCCTCAGGACTGGCAGCAGAACTGGACTCTGAACATTTGCTGCCACACGTATCTCTTGGGCGTAAGTTGCTCTGACATTCCTTCTTCGACTGCATTGGGGAAAATGCCCTTGTAGATGATTAGCTGAACTGGACGACTTCCCGTTGGCAATGTGATTTTGAAGTACAATGTGTGTCCTGTGGGCAGAGAAGATAATGATTTTACTAGACAATCTATCCGGCGAACATCGCCTCTTCACACTGCCCGTTGGAGCTGCTAAATTGATCGGTGACGGCTTGTATATTGGACCAAGCCGTGTCGGTGAAGGAGCACAGGACTTGTGCGTTTCAGTTCTATCAAGGGCACAAGACCTCCTGCCCAAGTGCCATCAAATTGAATGGGACCTGCGTAAAGAGCAGTGCCATCCGATTCAGTGGGGCTTGTTTGCACGGCAGAACTTGTCACTCTATTGCACCCAGATTCTTTATTTTGCCATGCAAGCACATCAGATTTGCTAGTGCTCACTTTAGTCAATGTGCTCAAAACAAATTGCAATGTCTATGAGATGTATGTCCTAATTCTGTTGCTTACTGACTTCAAGAAAGAAAAACCCTAGTGTATATAGGCCCTTGCTCTTTTATGTTTCTAACTCTAGTCCGAAACCTCTTTTTCTGTTTTGTAAGTCACTTCCATATTGCATGACCTGATAGTGGAGACATGGTGTGTGTAGGTGTGTGGAGTCGAAGCATTTTCTCTGCTTGCTGTTTTTCTACTTATGATTCCTTTCCCCAGAGAGCAGCTTCTCCCCTTTAAGAGTTTTAAATTTGTGTTTGGGCAGGAAAGCTGGAATGTCCCTCCCCACTTAGTTTATCCACTGTTAACCTTTGTGCTCCAACCATGGCTTCTAAAACAATTACTGCACTTAATATTTAGCGTGTCTCTTGATGGTGTTGTGTCTGTGGCAAGCGCTCTATTTATTCTGCAGTTCTGTGCAAGCACAGAAAAGGCACCAAATGCAGGACGGGGTACAAGAACCCCCGTTTTCATTTGTTTAAGGGTAGAGAACCTGTTGTTTGATAACAACTCCTGTCATCCTTTGACTATCGGCTTTGTTGGTTTGGGGCGTTGGGAGACAGAGTACAACAATACCTGGAGAGCCGCAGGTTCCCCATCCCTCCTAGATAGTTCTTGTGGCTGTGAAGAATGGCTCAGTGATATTGTGTGTGTGTGTGTGTGTGTGTGTGTGTGTGAGAGAGAGAGAGAGAGAGAGAGAGATGGAGAAGAGGTTTCAGTGCCCTGCATAGCTCCTCATGCCTCCGTATAGCTAGGAGAAGCAGAATAAATTATGCATGATAACAAATATGAAAATTTGCTTAATTTGCCTAATTTATAAAGATTGCGGGATTCAGTTTTTCCTGTGCAAAGTTTGGATAACCTTGGCACAGGGTGTGTGTGTGTGTGTGTGTTATATGTACACACACACACATTTATAATATATATATGTGCACACACGTGCACACACACAAAAATAGATAACTATCAGGACTTCGTCATCTAAAAATGCCTGTTAGAGTGCTTAAGTAATGTGGGCCCTACTGACTGTTCCCCTCTAGTGATTAAACCAACTCAAAAAATAAGAAGCTCCTCTTTATTTCCAAATGGCTTGAACTGGTTTTGATGGGGTTTCGAACATGACAGGTTAAAAAGTAAACAAAAAACAAACAAAAAAACCTTTCAGGTAACAATAGTCAGAAAGTTTATGGGGCTGCCCTTGGAAAGGGAATTTGGGCACAATTTTTCACCTCAGATATGTTGGCCAGGGGGCTTTAGGATGCACTGTAAATCCCTCTATCCTGGCATGACGTCAGGGATAATCTGGCAGGGCAGTCCATATGCATATGCCTGACTCCATCTTAACACCATGGACAGCAGTCTCCAAACAGGGTGCTGACAGAGGAAGAATGGGCTTGCACCAAATCCTCTGCTCCCTCAAACCTCTCACCTGGCCCAGATACCAGCATGATATTACAGTGACCACAGACAGGTTGTAAGTTAAAACTCTTCCATTGAACTCAAAGGGGAACAAAGAAAACCCATCGCTGCACATCTGCTTCCAACTGTTCTGCCTACTCTGGCACAATGGGATGTCGGATTCAGGGTTCATCCACATTTCTGCTCGTTCCGGACTTCACGGGTCCGAGATGTTTTCTGTTTGTCCCACGCTTTCTAGGCACGGGTGTGATGGTTTTCCATTTGCCTCCCTGCATTCCCTGGGAAAATCCTCTCTTTACCACTGAATCAGAGCAAATACCAATGCTTGGAAAACTCAGTTTACGTTTGTTCCATTTCCCCGGGGGGTGGGGGAGTGGCAGGACATGTGGGAGACTTAAACTTCTATTCAGTCTTTTTTGATTATTTGATTAGATTTATATACCTGTATACCTGACGGAGCGTCTCCACCCCCATCATCCAGCCCAGACACTGAGGTCCAGCGCTGAGGGCATTTTTGCGGTTCCCTCGCTGCGAGAAGTGAGGTTACAGGGAACCAGGCAGAGGTTTTACTTTTAAAAGACAACTGAAGGCGGCCCTGTTTAGGGAAGTTTTTAATGTCTGATGCTGTATTGTTTTTGATATTCGGTTGGAAGCCGCCCAGAGTGGCTGGGGAAACCCAGCCAGATGGGAGGGGTATAAATAATAAATTATTGTTATTGTTATTATTATACTGCCCTTCATAAGAAGATCTCAGGGCGGTCCACAGAATAAAACACAGGATAAAAACATAACAGTGAAACAATAACCCCCTTTCCCACAGACACATTTCAAAGGCTGTAGAATATTAATCAGCCAAAGGCCTGGTTGAAAAGGAACATTTTTGTCTGGCGCCTAAAAATATATAATGAAGGTGCCAGGCGAATCTCTCTGGCCCGCTCTCATATTGCCACCATCCAAACCTCTCTGGGATGGAGGACACAGAGAAAGGCCTCAGGTGACAAGCACAGGTTTGGTTCAATATGGGGAGAGGCAATTCTTAAGGTATTGAGGTCCTGAGCCATGAAAGCCTTTATAGCCGAGTATATAGAGTCCTGAGGGATGCGGGTGGCACTGTGGGTTAAACCACAGAGCCTAGGACTTGCCGATCAGAAGGTCGGTGGTTCGAATCCCCACGATGCGGTGAGCTCCCATTGCTCGGTCCCTGCTCCTGCCAACCTAGCAGTTCGAAAGCACATCAAAGTGCAAGTAGATAAATAGTTACCGCTCCAGCTGGAAGGTAAACGGTGTTTCCGTGCGCTGCTCTGGTTCGTCAGAAGTGGCTTAGTCATGCTGGCCACATGACCCAGAAGCTCCCTCGGCCAGTAAAGCGAGATGAGCGCCGCAACCCCAGAGTCCATCACGACTGGACCTAATGGTCAGGGGCCCCTTTACCTTTACCTTTATATAGAGTCCTTGTGTTCTTATACAACCTCTGTGGTCCTGCATGAAACTTTGGAGGGTCAACAGGACTCTATAATATATCTGCTTCATATCTGCTGCTGTGGTTCAGTAGACAAGGACACGGGTGGGGTTGCTTTGTTCTATGCTTTTGGCTGTTCTATTGTTTTCTCCTTAATTTTTGCACTGAGATTACAGAGAATCTTGACTAAGTTGTGCCAATGTTACACTGGTGCAACTGGGGCATTGGCTTGCTGTGAAAAATAAGATTGAAGATTATAGTGGACTAGCGAAAGGGTGGGTGCTTTTATAGAGTGGATGTATTTGGTTGTTGCTTACCTTCGTTTGGCGATATTTTTTATTTTTTATTCTAAAGTAACAAACTCTACCAACAAGTTTTTAAAAAAATGGAAAAACAAAACAGCACAAGGACAGAGAGGTACACAAGCCATTACACAGTAATGTCTAGCACTAGTCTCAAGTTCTGTATTAATATTTGCTTTTCCACAAGCATTCATTCTTGACCCTGTGCTTCCTGACCTGTTAAACATGTCAGGCTTTCTTCACCGTGAGATGTAATTGGTTGCTAGGTGTACAAACAGGTTGCTGACAAGGGCTTAACATGGGAGAAATGGCAACCACAAAGTGCCGTGAGGTGACTGCCTCACAAAATCTGACAAATTGTGGATGTTGTTTAAAGGCAGCAACTTGTGAGTTATTCCCATTTCTTTTTGACTGTGGAGCAGAGTGCCACTTGGACAGCCTTGCTTCAAACATCATAGCCTTGACAGCAGCGGATGGGTCTACTGTCTCTATTTTAGTACAACTCCCTGTTCAAACAGGCGACTCTTCTGTCGTCATGCTTTCTGGGTTTGGAGGAGCTACCATTGCTAGGGAAGCTGATGGCTGGAAGTAATTTTATCCACTTCAAAAAAATATATAGTTGCTTATGTCACTTGCACAACCATGTTTTCACACCATAGCCAACACAGCGCATTGCTTTTGTAATTGATGTGTGGGATGACGACGATGACGATGATAATAATTTCATTGCTTTTAGATCCCACATTTCACCTTGGAGAAAGATTTCAGTTAATCTCTACAGCAAGGTAGGTTTGGCTGAGAGGCGGTGATTAGCCCAAGATCACCCAGTGAGATTCATGGCCAAGTGGGGATATTATTATTATTATTATTATTATTATTATTATTATTATTATTATTATTATTATTACAGTGGTACCTAACGGGGGCCTCCTGCTGCTGCTACGCCGCCGGAGCACAATTTCTGTTCTCATCCTGAAGCAAAGTTCTTAACCTGAGGCAATATTTCTGGGTTAGCGGAGTCTGTAACGTGAAGCGTATGTAACCTGAAGTGTATGTAATTTATTATTCATACCCCTCCCATCTGGCTCAGGTCCCCAGCCACTCCCAGGTCCTAGTCCAACACTCTAATCCTGTAGTTCTCAAAGGGTGTGGCTTTAGAGAACGGCAAGTGTGGTGGGAAGATTCAAGGACATTAAAAAAACCCCACATTTAAACATTTTAGCTAGTATAGTTTCAAAGTATTTTCTTGTTGGATATACAACCAGAAACAGTATCCACGCCTCTCTTCGAAAGCATTGGCTACAGTTCTCCGTGACATATTGTTGCGAACAAGGATTTTCAACTCTTGACAAATCAGTTCCCATTTGGGGCAGCTGCATATTCCTGCATTTCAGGGGGCTGGACTAGATGACCCCCAGGGTCCTTCCCAACTCTACAATTCTCTGATTCTATGAAATATGAAAGATCAGAAAACAGTAAAGCTGCTTTGCTCTGATCAAGAGATGAGAGTTTGTCTCAAATTAGACCTCATATACAGTAATTGAGGCTACCTGGCAAAAACATGCTCACACTTCTCATTGAGTTTGTATACATACTTAATGTGCATATGTAAGCGACCAGTTTATCATTATATTTTGGGAGTGATTCATGTTCTTACGTAATGCAGCTGCATTGCTTTATACTTTCTGGATTTCCCATGGTGATAGCTGTGTTCTATGTTACAAAGTGAGCATCGCTCAGTTTCCTTCTGTTTTCCAATGTTTTTCTTCTCTATTAAAAAATGTGGTGTGGCACAGTGAATTTTTTATTCTGAAAGTGTAGCCCAAAGGGAAAAGTTTGAGAACCACTGCTCCAATCACTACACAGAGATGTGCGCACGCCAATGTTACAGGCAACCAATGAATGGCTTCTGTGATGTCACTGGTCACAAGACACCCAACCTCCTCTCTGCCTACCTCTATCAGTTTTTAAACTTTTTTTAGGCTATTACCTAAGCAGCAACTGTTCTTTCATGCACACTCCAACACACCTCGAGAGCATGGACTTGCAAAGGGGATAAAATTCTCAGGTCCTGCTATCTGTGATGCCTCTGTTCTACCTCCACGGTCGGAGACAGTATGCCTGGGAATGTCACTTGCTGGAGAACACCATTGGGGAGATCAATGTTGCACTCAAGTCCTGCTTGGAGGCTTCCCATAGACATGGTTAGCCATTGTGAGAAACTAGATCAGGGGTCAGCAACCTTTTGCAGCCATGGGCCAGTCCACCGTCCCTCAGACCATGTGGTGGGCTGGACTATATTTTGGAAAAAAAATCTGAACGAATTCCTATGCCCCACAAATAAGCCAGAGATGCATTTTAAATCAAAGCACACATTCTACTCATGTAAAAACATGCTGATTCCCGAACCATCCATGGGCTGGATTGAGAAGGCGATTGGGCCGGATTCGGCCCCTGGGCCTTAGGTTGCCAACCCCTGAACTAGATGGACCTTTGGTCTGCTCCGACAGAGCTATTCTCGTGCTCTTATGTGGACGGGATATCACCCTTGGAGATGGATTGTGACTAATATGAATGTACAGTGGTTCCTCTGGATGCGAACGGGATGCGTTCTGGAGCCCCGTTCACATCCTGAAGCGGATGCAACCCGCACCCACGGGTCATGATTCGCCGCTTCCGCGCATGCGCGTGACGTCATTTTGAGTGTCTGCACATGCGTGAGCGGCGAAACCCAGAAGTAACGCGCTCCGTTACTTCTGGGTCGCCACGGAGCGCAACCCGAAAAGGCTTAACCTGAAGCGACTTCAACCCGAGGTATGACTGTAGTAGTATGGGTTGTTTATCATCCAGAACAGACCTTCATACTAAGAGAGAGGCACTCCTATCAGCCAGGAAATTTTCCTGCACAGGGACCATTGCAATGTGGGCTCCCATTAATTTCAATAGGTCTTGCGAAGGAAAATTTCCTGGAGGATTGTGCCCGTAAGAGATATTCATGCTTTGAAGTGCAGGAAGAGCATTTTGATTGGCCTCATTGACCAGAACAAGGCAGTGGACAACGCTACAACTTTTTCCTTCCTCTTACATTCACAGGTGCATTCATAACCTGCGACAAACCTCTGTGGCTGGCACAGGCCTGGAAGAGAACGGACCCTGGGGTCCAGAGCTTGGAAGAAAAACCCATCAATGGACATTTTAAAAAATCGCAGCTGTGCAATGTAATATATTCTGATGACCTGTAACCAGTGGTGAAAAGTAGGTTTAAGGCCAGTTACTGAATAAGAAATAGGGACACAGGTGGCGCTGTGGGTTAAACCACAGAGCCTAGGACTTGCCGATCAGAAGGTTGGTGGTTCGAATCCCCGCAACAGGGTGAGCTCCCGTTGCTCAGTCCCTGCTCCTGCCAACCTAGCAGTTCAAAAGCACTTCAAAGTGCAAGTAGATAAATAGGTACCGCTCTGGCGGGAAGGTAAACGGCGTTTTCATGCGCTGCTCTGGTTCGCCAGAAGCGGCTTAGTCATGCTGGCCACATGACCCGGAAGCTGTACACCAGCTCCCTCGGCCAATAAAGCGAGATGAGCGCCACAACCCCAGAGTTGGCCACGATTGGATCTAATGGACAGGAGTCCCTTTACCTTTACCTTACTGCATAAGAAGAGAGGAAAACTGCCTTGCGCTGTTATTGTTTACACTGCCTTACAGATTGCTTCTCCAGGGCTTCAGGTAAGGTGCAATCCTAACCCTAACTGGTGATGCCAAAGATTGAACGTGGAAGCTTCTAATGCTCTCCACCATCGAGCAAAAGCCCTCCTTCCCCTGACCAAGATAAGGGGTAGTGGTAGAATGGGGATACAACCGTAAGCTAGAACACTTCAGTTATATTTATTGGGTCTGTGTTCCCAGAAGGCAGCCAAGGGAAGAGGCAACAGGATTATGCTTAAAAAGAGGGTGATGCCACAGCCCAGGACTGCACAGGATCCCTGTCATCAGCTGGGAAGGAGGCCTGCTTCTTGGTTCTCAGGATATGGGCAAACTGCTGTAGTTGCTCAGCGGCAAGGTAAAAGCGCTTTGCACATACTCAGATGCCCTTGTAGCTACTCAGTAACGTTGTTTAAAGGGGCCTTGGGCATTCTTTTAAAATGCAAAAATATACGATGAGAAGGTGGGGGTGTAAGAAACACATGGGAGTTGTTGGCTGTGGAAGAACCATGACTATAGCTAAACGTGTTTTCTTCTTCTTCTGGAAACCTCCTCCCCTTCCTTTTTTTTTGGGGGGGGGGCAGAGCTGTAGATAAATTCCATGTGGCAATTTTAAGGCTTGTTCCAAGGCGAAAAAGGAAGAGAATGAAGGGAACCTCAACTGCGCTGCCAGCCATCTTTCCAGAAGCCCAGCTCGCGCCTTGAATGTCACATTTGTTATCTTCACCCCAGTTGGAGGAGGAGGAGGCGGATGCTTGCTTCCTCGTTATTTTCCTCCTGCATTTCGGTCCCTTGCCCTGCCTGCCCTTTGTAGAACATGATCGCTGTGTGTTCCTCTTTCCCTGCCGGCCCCCCTCCCGCCTCCTCCCCCCTCCGCCTTTCAATGGCTCTCGCTCTCCATTATGGCTCGCTCGCTTCCCAGGTACAGAGGCTCTGATTGGGTTGCCTCGCATTCCCCTCCATTCTTGCAAAGGACTCGGGGCCCTCGCTTGGCCTCCGCACTAGTTCTCTCCCTTTGTGCCGTTGCCTGGTAACTGGGAAAAAGGCGGGGGGGGGATGGGACAGGCTCCAGGAGGAGAAGATGGAGAGAGGCGAAGTTGGGGGGGGGGGGCAGAGAGAGAGAGGAGAGAGAAGGAGAAAGCAATTGAAGTGTGTGCGGTTTGTGTAATCCTCCAGGCAAGGCTCTGCATGTTGATTAGTTGCAGGCCGGCGGAAGCAAAGACCAGGCGTGGAGTCCTGACCCGCATCCAAGGGAAGAACGAGTTGCGCTCTTCAAGGCGCGCAAAGAGCGCGCTCTGCGCCGCAGGCAATGGCGCAGAGGCTTCAGTAGGGGGCACTCTTTCCCCCCTTGAAAAAGCAAGGCTGGGCCTGGCACACCCCACAACCAGGGGGGGCTTGAAGCACTGCTCTGAGCAGCGGGACCATAGTTCTCTCTCTCTCTCTCTCTCTCTCTCTCTCTCTCTCTCTCTCTCTCTCTCTCTTGCTTACTCTCACCCACAACTAGACAGCCCAACTGGGGCGCCAACTTGAGTAAAAAAAAATTGGGGGGTGGGTATGCCCCGTCTTAAGGGACACAGGTGGCGCTGTGGGTTAAACCACAGAGCCTGGAACTTGCCGATCAGAAGGTCGGCGGTTCGAATCCCCGCGATGGGGTGAGCTCCCATTGCTCGGTCCCTGCTCCTGTCAACCTAGCAGTTTGAAAGCACATCAAAGTGCAAGTAGATAAATAGGTACCACTCCAGCGGGAAGGTAAACGGCGTTTCCCTGCGCTGCTCTGGTTCGCCATGCTGTACCACATGACCCGGAAGCTGTACACCGGCTCCCTCGGCCAATAAAGCGAGATGAGCGCCACAACCCCAGAGTCGGCCACGACTCAACCCAACGGTCAGGGGTCCCTTTACCTTTACCTTGCCCCGTCTTGCACAATCAATCACTAGTCCTGCTGCACACCATTTGAATGGAAATGCCTATCAATTTTTTTGGGGGGGGCAGTCCCCTCAAATATTTTGTGGGGAGCAAAAGGACCTCAGCACCTAGGAGTTGGCCCCTATGCACACACCATTTGAATGGCAATGCCTATCAACTTTTTTTGGGGGGACAACCCCCTCAAATATTTTATGGGGGGTGAAGGGACCACAACCACTAGGATTTTGCTCTATGCACCCTGAGAACCTTTTGCCCCCAAACCACATGGATGCTGCGTATCAACTACCGTATTGGGGTGAGGGAGAGATTTGGCTCGGCTGCTGACACATCAGCTGACAGTTTGTGCCATGCAGTGATGTGCAAGTGGCGCTGAAGTCAGTGGGACTAGCGAACATGCTGAGGCATGTGCCATCTTGGGAGCAGAGCGTAGCTGAAAGGGCGGCTTAGTTTTGAGTAGTAACCATGCGTTGAACCAGGCTGCTTGCACATGAGTTATGACTTGGGAAGTTCCCACTCAAGTCTCATCCATAAACCCATAAGGGGATCTTAGGCAAGCAGCCACTGTTGTTATGGGCTCCTCCCCAACCCACTGGCACTACGAACACAAACAGTTTTGTTTCAACCTCAGTTTCCCTACCTGCAATATGGGGAATGGTAATATTGATTTGTCTTACAGGTTTGCTGTGGATCGCAACTGTGAAGTGCTTTGAGTGTTGGAAAGCGCTATAAGAATATGAAGCATAAACACTGAGGAAATGTACATTGAGCACTCAAAACGGCAACTGGCAGTGCTTTTTTCCCCTAAAAAAAATGTTTAGGGGTACTCTCATTTTCCTACTCATATTGAAATACTGCCCCTCAATGAGGCCAAACTTAGATACACAAAACGTTTAGGGTTATGTGTACCTCTGCGTCCCCCCAGAAAAAAAGCACTGGCAACTGGTGCTATAACAGTATTATATGGCCTCCATCTATTGGGGACGCGGGTGGTGCTGTGGGTTAAACCACAGAGCCTAGGACATGCCGATCAGAAGGTCGGCAGTTCGAATCCCTGCGATGAGGTGAGCTCCCGTTGCTCGGTCCCTGCTCCTGCCAACCTAGCAGTTCAAAAACATGTCAAAGTGCAAGTAGATAAATAGGTATCACTCTAGCGGGAAGGTAAACGGCGTTTCGGTGTGCTGCTCTGGTTCGCCAGAAGCGGCTTAGTCATGCTGGCCACATGACCTGGAAGCTGTACGCCGGCTCCCTCAGCCAATAAAGCGAGATGAGCGCCGCAGCCCCAGAGTCGGCCACGACTGGACCTAATGGTCAGGGGTCCCTTTCCCTTTATGGCCTCCATCTAAAAACTGGCTCACATAGAACTAGCATAGCAGAGTGGCTAAGGTTATAGTTCCAAAAGCATTTACTCAGGACTAGGAGTAAATTCCATTAAATTATGTGGTTTATTGTTTGTTGTGACGCATGATGTAAATGTGCTATAAACCGGGCAGTCCACTGTCCAAATATCCTGTTGTAAACTTACTTCAGAAGCCAGTATCTCTGTTTCATCTAAATATGGGGATGAGAATAATACTGACCTACCTTAAAGGGCTGTTGTAAGATTTAATAAAAACATATGAGAAGCACTTAGAACACCAGTCTACAGGGCTACAGACATGCTAAACGTTGTTCTCAAACTCTCCTTGTAGCACACATGGCAAGTTAAGACAAAGATTTGATTTGCGATGTTTCTCATTTTTATTGCAAAGCAACCGTACGAACACAGTGTTCATGTGCAGTGAATTTCACAAACGTGTAATGCGAGTTCTGATCAGAAATCTCATCTCGGCCCAGAGTTTTGCAATCTGCATTTCATTACTTCACAGTTTGTTCATTTCTAAGTATTTCAGAAGCTAGAATTTCAACCACGGAGTATGTGATTAGTCATGGTCACATCAAGTGAAGCATTTTAGTGGCTTAACCACATGCTGTGAAAAGTGGTGTAGTTGGCAGAGTATTGGCCTTAGACTGAGGAGGGCAATCTCAACTTTCATTTGTAAAATGGGGATATTAATAATCTATCACCTAAGGCTGTTGTAGAAATGAAATAAATACCATAAAGCACTTTCAACATTAATGCAGCGCTCTAAACATAATGAAATGAAAATTATGAATGTAATGTATGCAAAGTACAGTATACTAAAATAATCAACCCTAAAAAAGCAGTGAGAATTCAGACATGATTTATGCCAAAATATATGAGTTGTTGTTTTTTTTTAAATGCAGGTATAATCAATACCCTCTGTTCTCTTCACAGGGCTACAATTCCAAGAGTTCCTTGGGAAGAGGGACTGACTGTTAAATCATTTTGAGAGCTGTAGCTGTGTGAGAGAAATTGGCGTCTCCCAACAACTCTCAGCCCCTTAACAAACTACAATTCCCAGGATTCTTTGTGGGGAAGCCATGCCTGTTGAAATGGAATGAAACCGCTTTATGTGTACGATGCTGACAACTGTGAGGAAGCCACATGGACCAGCCCCACTCCCACCTGCCAGCCATTCCCCCACCTCCAGCCATGTGAAGTGCCCTTACGCGCATATGGAGGTGTGTGAATAAAACACCTCCACAAGAAGGTTGCTGTGTGCATATAGAATCATAGAGTCCAACCCCCTTGCAATGCAGGAATCTCAGCTAAAGCATCCATGATAGATGGCCGTCCAAACTCCAAGTCCACGAACTCCCAAGGGGGACCGTTCCACTGCCAAACAGCTCCTACTGTCAGAAAGTTCTTCCCAATGTTTAGTTGGAATTTCCTTTCTTGTAACTTGAAGCCTCCTGTCAACCTAGCAGTTCAAAAGCACGCCAAAGTGCAAGTAGATAAATAGGTACCGCTCTGGCGGGAAGGTAAACGGCGTTTCCGTGCACTGCTCTGGTTCGCCAGAAGCGGCTTAGTCATGCTGGCCACATGACCCGGAAGCTGTACGCCGGCTCCCTCGGCCACTAAAGCGAGATGAGTGCCGCAACCCCAGAGTATTCCGCGACTGGACCTAACGGTCAGGGGTCCCTTTACTTTTACTATTTTAACTTGAAGGCAGAGCAGGAGAAAACCAGTTTGCTCCATCTTCCATGTGACAGCCCTTCGGATATTTGAAGATGGCTCTCATATCTCTTCTTCTCATACCTGGTAAACACATGGACAGCAGGGGCGGCAGCAGTGGGGTGGGACTAACCTGTACAGCCCTCTCAGCACATGTGGAGTTCATGTATGGATATCCCCATACCTATGTAGCAGCAAATGTAGAAGCCACACTGCAAGGACTCCCACAAGACCCTTAACTTCAGGGGTGTGGATCTGAGCCCCGTATCGGGCAAAATATTCCTGCATTGCAGCGGGTTGAGCTAGATGACCCTCGTGGTCCCTTCCAAATCTACGGTTCTATAATTCTAAGGAGCTGAAGGACGTGGCAGGCCGAGGTGGCAGAATTCTGAATTGCCGTATTTTTCTGTCTATAAGACGCTCCCCATGAATAAGATGCCCCCTATTTGGGTGGACTCCGATTTAAGAAAATGGGGAGAGAGCTATCCGTGTATAAGATGCCCCCAATTTTTGGACATTATTTTTTATGTTAATAATCTTCCTGCATATATTTTCTGTTTGGGTACTACTATATGCAGGGAAATTTTTATACAGGGAAGGATTCAAAATACGGCCCAGTCACCTTTATTTTGAAATGGCGCAAGTCAGAATTCCACCATATTCGCCCACCACTCTACCTTTGAATAATGTGTGGAAGGGTGATGTGGAACCTGTGACTTGTCCAAATATTATTATTTTTATTAAATTTGCATACTGCCCTATACCCACAGTTTTCAGGGCATAAAATCACAATATAAAATGTTGTTGGACTCCAACTCCCATCAGCCCGCAGTCAAGCATGATGGGAGTTGTAGTCCAACAGCATATGGCAGGTCACTGCTTCCCCTCCCCTGGATTAGAAAATCCCATACTTTTTGGAGGGACAGATTCAGGTTTGGCCTATACAAGGAGCAGAACGAGGCAATAAGAATCCTGAGGTTAACTGTACCACTTCAGACTGCAGATGGGAAATGCCATTTTTAGTTCAGTGGCATGAGTTATTTATTTATTTTTTAAAAAGCCAAGCAAGCCACCTTGTGAGTAAAATAACTTGGCAAAAGAGGTGAATGTTTCTAGTCTAGCCTGTTTCCCGCTGTTCTAACTTTCAGGGAGCTTTTAATGTATAAGGTGAACGTTTCTAGTCTAGCCTGTTTCCTGCTGTTTCAACTTTCAGGGAGCTTTTGATGTAAGGGAGAATTCAAAAAGATCTCCCATCGGCTACATTTGTAGACCTGACTTAACTATATAGCAAATGGAAGCGACATTATTTAGTCAGTCAGTCAGTCAGTCAGTCAGTCATCAGTCTGGAAGCCACCTTTAGCCAAAAGATGCAATTGGGACCCACTTCTTATTTTAAAACTGGTTATTTTGTGCACGTGGTAGTGCTCTTGTAGCAACCAAGCTTAGATCAGCCTCCAACTCAAAAATGGTTCCTGGCCCATTAGATGCCGACTAATGGCTGCGTGTGGGTATTAAACTTAATCGTTGCTTTTAATTGTGTGTGCCTAGAAACATTTTGAAATTGGGTGCCAAAGAAATCAAATAATTAATAATAATGTTCCAAGGTTCCTTGTTTCCTAGGCCCCAGGGATTTTAAATCTTCCTTCTCTGGCTCTTATGATGACTTACAATCTTGTGACTTTCCTTCAACCAGTCCGTTTTGCTTATGTCCTATCTAGAAAAGTTGCATCTTCTTCTCCATGATTTCTTAGCCCCCCCCCCCATATGTCTCTTTTTTCCTGACCAATAAATGTGAAATTGTTATTCATGTGTATTTTGGGGGTGGGAGTGCCTGACATTTCCCCTCCAGGAAGTGCTTTGTTATGGGAATACAGTGGTGCCTCGCAAGACGAAATTAATTCGTTCCGCGAGTTTTGTCGTCTTGCGATTTTTTTCGTCTTGCGAAGCACGGTGTCGGGAAAGTTTTGGAAAAGCTTCAAAAATCACCAAAGTCTTTAAAAACCTCAAAAAAGGCTACCACACCGCGTTCTATGAGTTGCTCCTCGAAGTCAAGTCGCAACTGTATTAACGGTTTTAAGAAAAAGGAAACAAACTTGCAAGACGTTTCCGTCTTGCGAAGCAAGCCCATAGGGAAAATCGTCTTGCGAAGCAGCTCAAAAAACAAAAAACCCTTTCGTCTAGCGAGTTCTTTGTCTAGCGAGGCATTCGTCTTGCGAGGTACCACTGTACTACATTAACATGCAGTTCCTGGAGAAATGCTGTCTTTCTCCCTGCTATCGCTTTTTGTGTGACTACCAGGTAGAATATGACTGAACAAGTTTCATGGCTACCTCTTGGACCTGCCACCACGCAACATTGGTAGAGATGAGTGGTGTAACACCTCTGTATTTTGTACCATTCTAAAATTAAGCAAAATTAAACTACCTCTTCTTCTTCTTCTTCTTCTTCTTCTTCTTCTTCTTCTTCTTCTTCTTCTTCTTCCTTATTTAGATCTGGGGTTGCCAGCATGTGGCCATCCAGATTTTGTTGGACTACAACTCCCATTAGCCTCAGCTGGCATGTTCGTTGATCAGGGATAATGGGAGTTGTGTGTTAGGGGAGGGGTAGTACCTCTGATGGAGGAAGGTGGGTGGTGCTGTGGTCTAAACCACAGAGCCTAGGACTTGCCGATCAGAAGGTCGGTGGTTCGAATCCCCGCGATGGGATGAGCTCCCATTGCTCAGTCCCTGCTCCTGCCAACCTAGCAGCTCGAAAGCACGTCAAAGTGCAAGTAGATAAATAGGTACCACTCTGGCAGGAAGGTAAACGGCATTTCCGTGCGCTGCTCTGGTTCGCCAGAAGCAGCTTAGTCCTGCTGGCCACATGACCCGGAAGCTGTACGCTGGCTCCCTCGGCCAGTAAAGCGAGATGAGCGCCGCAACCCCAGTCGGCCACAACTGGACCCAATGGTCAGGGGTCCCTTTACCTTTTTAGTACCTCTGATGGAGGACACACTGTGCTCCTCCTGGTTGTTTGTTTGTCCACCTTTGATCCCACCCTGCACTCAGCTCTCACCTGTGGCTCCTAGTAGCTGTCAGTGTGTGATAGTGGCCACACTCTGGGAAACAGCTTCAAATGGCCAGCTAAACCAGGTGAGGGTAGCTGATGGATCTCAATCCCTCGGTGAGTTTGGGACTTCCCCTGCATGCAAAGACAAGCTCTGGTGGATTTAGTGGATAAGACCAATAGTGGGTCCAGCGCTCAAGAACAGGCTTCCTCAACCTCGGCCCTCCAGATGTTTTGGGACTACAATTCCCATCATCCCTGACCACTGGTCCTGCTAGCTAGGGATGATGGGTGTTGTAGTCCCAAAACATCTGGAGGGCCGAGGTTGAGGAAGCCTGGCTTAACCCCACACAAATCCAGAGTGGAGTCCCTAAGAGTGCAACTGGGTAAATATTTGAAGGAAAGTGCAATTCCTCCCTACCAAAGTCCCTGTTGTCCCAAGTAACATCTGGAGAGGGGATGATGGTGCACCCTCTGCCAAGGTCTTGCTGGTTGCAGCCCCTTTCCTTCAGGCTCCATTTGGTTGCATGGAAAAGGGGCCGCACTCCTGAAAGCTCTTTGAGAAAGAAGTGGTTCAAATTAATTTTCACCCAGCAAAACAGTAAGCTTCCATAGCTGGCAGCCTTGAATGTCCAAAACCCTTTGACAAGTTAAATGACAAGAACTGCCAAACCTTAGGGCGGGGATCAGAGGCATTAGTGGCACGTCTGAATGCACCCTTGAATTGGCTCCGTTTATTACACCTCACCGCTGCCTGCCCACCTCCTCCGTAGTGCCAGCCATCACTGCTTCTTCAGAGCCTCCTTCCCTCGTCCTTGCCTTTTTCCAGAGCACAGTGTTTGCTCGGAATCCAGTTCCTACGGGATCCGATCCGTCTCTTCCTTCCTTTCCCCCGCTCCTAGATTCTGTTGCTCCCGAGTCTTGCCTTGCCAAAAAAAGCTCCAGGCATCTCCCATTCCTTTGTACTGGGGATTGAGAGGGGAGGAGAAATGGCAGGAAAGCTGGGAAGAGAAAGGGGGGGGGAAGCGTTGGGGGCAGGGGGCTTGGGAAGGAGGGGGAGGCAGGCAGCCAGGAGGACCTCAGCTCCAACCACAGCCATTTCGGAGCGTCTGTAGCCGGAGACAGATTAATATTCTTCCCCATTTTGTCGTTCTCTTCCGAACTCCCTTCTCGTTCTCGTTTGAAGGGGTCTCCCTTGAAACCACCACTGCCCCCCCCCATCCTCCCAGATTTGCACGTATGCTCTGGAAGGAAGAGAGAGATGGAGCCGTCGGTGAAAAGCGGAAAGGTGCCGCTCGCGAGCTTTACGCAGTCCCGATCCTATAGACATCTTGCAGAGCCTTGGCAGCAAACGCTCTGCAGCCCAGTGGGATTTCTTCCCCAATGAAACTTTCACGGAGCTGGGTACCCTCAATGCGACACCCCCGCACACACTCCGGCGCAGTATGCAGCGCCAAAACATGTGGGTCCATAGGAACCAGTTCATAGGGGCCGAGGTACCTTCACCCAACCCCAATAAAATATTGAAGGGGGCTGCGCCCCCCCAAGTTGATGGCTATTGCCATCCAAATAGTGTGCGCGCGCGCCGTGTCATGTGATCGATTATGTGGGGCGGGACTTACCTGGGCCCCCCAATATTTTATTCAAGTTGGCACCCCTGTGTGGGTCAATACTGCGCGCAATGGGGGGGGCGAAGGCCCGAGAGAAGGCCTCGTATCTTTGGGCACCCCATCACCCCGTCCCCCTGCACCCGTCCGCCTCCATTTCTCTCCCGCGACCTCGCCTTTGCTCACACCGACCCCTTCCCCCTCCAGCCCCAGCGCCTCGCCTTTTAAAAAGCGTTATATAACATGTCCCGACTCCTGCGCCCTCGCCATCGTTTTGCTTTAAGGCGCAAACAGTTCTTTCCCCCCTGCTGGCGAGCGGCGGGTGCAATCGATGCGCTCTTGCGCGGAGAGGGAGAGGGTGTTGTTGGAAAGAGAGGGGTGGGGGAGAGGGAGGGAGGGGAGGGGGCTGCTTGCGCGTACTGGGCTCTTCGGAAATGGGAGGTGGCCAAGGCGGCAGGCGGCGGGCGGGCGCTGCGATGGGCGAGCGCGCAGGCACGGGCGGCGGCGCCTGAACCCGGAGGCGGGGGGGGGGGCGCCGCCGACAGACGCCACTCGGAGGCTGGAGGTACGGCGGGGGAGGGGGGGGTTGCGATCCTGTTTTCCCGCTCCCCCATCTTTGAAGTCCCGGGGAGAAAAAGGAAGAGGAGGAGGGAGGGAGGGGAAGACGGAGTTGTGCAGCTGCCGCCGCTGCTGCTACAGCTGGCTCTCCGAGCCTCTCCTGCGCCTCCTTCTCCTTCGTTCCCCCCTTCATTCGACCTCGCTGCCGGAGCCCGGTAAGTGCGAGGAGCCCGGGAGCCCCATCTCTCTCGCCTGCTCGGCATCCATTCTACACCGATCGTGCGTTCTGGGGCGAGGGAGGTGGGACGGCGGGCGGGCGGCTGGCCATCTCTCCTCATTCTCTCTCTGTAGAGGAGGATGGTTGCGGGGAGGAGGGCGCGAAGTAGGGAAGGGGGTTGTCAGAAAGCAGGAGAGATCGGGCGACAGGAGCCCCGCGCGCAGGAGAGAAGGTACCCCCCACCCACCCTAGCCCGGGAGGTCGTGGTTTAAAAGGCACCCGAGCGCGAGCGATCGGGCGCGCGCGCACCAACACACACCACTGCCCAGGCTCTTGGCGACTCCCGTCCCCATAAGAGCGCTGGCTCTGCGGAAGAGATCTTTTAGGGAGCCCCTAAGAAACGCCTCCCCGAAGCAGAGATGGCCAACTCCACGGTGGAGCCCCGTGGAACAAGTCCGCTCCCTGCGCCGGATCCGTGGGGCCTGACAGTAGAAGACGCCTAGAACCCCGGGCAGAGTAACCCCTTGATGCTGCAGAACCTCAAAGAGAACCCCAAAGAGAACATCCACCCCCCCAGCTTCATTCTACCCCTTCACCCAAGCTGCATTCTTTCATAGGAGACCCCCTCATAATCTAGAAGTCCCACTAGACCTCATTGAACCGATTCCTGCAGCCCGGCCAGAGAGCCAGGAGCCTGACATTCCAGTGTGTCCTTCTGGAGAGTTATAGTCTAGTAGCGCTACTCCTGGGTGGGGGTGGGGGGTGACAAGGAGGGTGCCTCTTATGAAGGGCAAGGTCTGGTGCTTCACACCCTCCACGGAGTAGATGGGTCTTGTAAAAACCTTACCGCGCATTTCGTTTATTTGTGCAAATGAATGGAGACTGGAATGCACAGGCGAGGCCACAGCACCTCCCAAGCCGTGGTCTTTTCCGTGGAAGGTGGCTTCTTTTCAGTCTTTTAAGTGACAGCAGGAGGACTTCTCAATCTCTCCTCTTGGAAGAAGGTTTCACGTTTCATAGAACAGGCACCCTGAAAGGCCGCAATCCAGTAGAACATTAAGGAGATGTTGCTTCTCTCCAGAGCCACCCCCCAGTACGTCATGCACCTAGCCAGAGAGCCCAGTGATTGGAGGCGCCTTCTCAACTCTGTACTTAACAGTTCTGAGGCGCTATAGCGCTTCACGGACAATAGTCCAGCAAAGTAGGCCGCTTTTCTTGCTTTACAAATTGGAGGTGGGAGGTGAAGGATGAGGTGGTCGTGTCTTGCCTAAGGCTACCTAGTGAATTCCAAGATGAGGCAAAATTTGAACATTAGGCTTCCTGGCTCAGTACCTGGGGGGAGAGAGAAAGAGAAGACTTACATCAGTAGGCAAGATGGAAGCTACTGCTCTAGGTGTTTCTTCTCCAGTTGTCCTACAGACACATCCACAAGACTGCAAAGAAGAGACCTCCCACTTTTCTTAGTCCGTATAGTCCAGAAAACAGTCAAGGTTGCAATCCATTGAAATTAATGAGTCTGAGTTAGTCATGTCCAGTAATTTCTATGGGACTACTCTGGGAGTAGGATACACTCAGTATTTTTCTCTCCTCCTCTTGCATTCTGGGTCCCCTGAGCTTCTTCAAATGCCACGCAAAATAGGACCAGTCTTGACAACCATGGCTGGGAGAGGCACATCTTCTACTAAGTTAAAGTATCTTGTCAGTTGGTGTGCTTTTTTTCTAATACCGTTGTGCTCGCTCTCCTGCTTTCTCTCTCGCTGGATGTCTCTGTGTGTACAATATATGTATGCAATATTGTGTATATGTATGTGTATATGTATATGTGGGTGGGTGAATAAGAATGGGCACTAGGAAAAATGGTTTACCCTTATTCCCTATTCCTCCTTATATCTTCTTGTGGTTGTTATTGCTATCCCATCCTTGCAGTAATGTCATGGAATCATTTTAGGGAACATGGGAGCGGGGATGGAATGATGGGAATATGGAGGAATCACAGGGAAACAGGAAATGGACAGAGATCTCTCTAGGTGTTTTGGTGCTGTGGTTGGAGTTGTTTCAAGAAAAGATATCAATAGGTTGGATATGTGGGGATGCAACCTCAGGGTTAGGCAAGATGATCCACTGGATTTATTCCAACTCAGGAGCTCCATGGATATACGTAGCGGATATTTCTTCTTTCCCTGTCCCCTGTCACAGGATAGTTTCCATGGCTCAATTGCTCTACCAGGAATGCTTCTGTGGAGAGATGACAATGGGCATCGCTTGATATCTAGTAGTTTTTAAAAGATGGGCATCATTTGGCCTGGCCGTAGTCTGCTTTGTTTTAAGAATACTGGGAAACGTGTTATCCGTGGAGTCACTGTTATGCTTTCTAGGCTGTATTAGAGGAAGGACTCAGCGGTAGAGATGCAGAAGTACCTATTTCCAATCTCTCGTTTCTCCAGGTAACGCTAGGGGAAAAATCCTGTCAAATCCCAGAGTGTAGACAGTAATAACCTAGATGGGCTGTTGGCTCGACTTCGTACAAGACAGCTTCCTACGTTTCTATTAGCGAGCAGAAGTGATGGATTTGAAGCAAAACATTGCTTTGTTATATGCAAGGCCTCAGATTCAGTCACCGTCACCTCCATTGTAAAGCATCTAGACCTTAAATAGCCATTGATAGTGTTACTGAGCTAGGTAGCTTCATGGCCTGATGCAATAGATCAACGGCCTGACTCCATGTATTGTGGATATTCAAATAATAATGCCAATGGGACAGTTCAGGTGTAATTGATATAAGATCTATGGACCGTATCAGGATTTATTGGCCACCGTATCATGACTTTTTGCATTGTTCGGGGGGGGGGGGGGAGGGAAGGATAAACAGCTCCAGAGAAGATGGAGCCTTCATTTGCCTACCTCTGGCTTAACTGATACCCATACAGAAGGCTGAGCTGCCATTGGGCTTGGCC